CTTTAAGAGGTTTTGTTACGGAATTTTGCGTCTAAGAAATTCAAAAAGCTGCCCAAAAGCAAAGCTATCTACCTGCATTGTGAAAAGTGGAAGAAGAGCTAATTGAAGATCCTTGTGTGCCATGTGGGCAGACTTGGGGAGCTGGTAGTCGTAAAGCTAACTAGCGGGCGTCAGGGTGTCAATGCCGCCGGTTGTGCGTAACGAGGATTCGGTCAATCCTCGAATAGATTGGCCTAGGCGGATGCATAATGGTAAAAGATAGCGACTGCGTCCAAACTATGCAGCCTTCATTTCCCAACCATGACCGCTGTCTAAGCGTAAACAAAATCGGGACCATTCGGAGGTAAAACGTGTTTTTGTAAGTAATGACGGGAAACAGCAGATCAGCGAAAGGCAATAAGCCACTGCTGCGGTAAAGGAACTAACAAATTTTGGGCAAATTAAATTATGGTTTATCTTATCAATTCCTCAAGAAGTCCTCTTTTGACCCCTATCCCCTGACGAATGCTGCATAAATGCAGACCGTCGACGGCGGTGAAGAATGCGATAATTGAAGGAATTGAGGTGTATTCTTTTTCGTCGTAGTAAATAAGAAGCATCAGAGACCTGTAAAACTGGTCGCGTGGAGTTAATCTATGTAAAATTTTGCCATTGTGAAAGACGTCGTATATGGGTGAGCTCCGAACCAGAAAAGTTGCCGTACCAATTGATGGCGCCCCTCCCGTAGCCCATAGGGCCTATGGTGGTCGGATGTCCACCCAAAGAAAATCCTTGAGCAAGACCAGCAGGTGCCATAGCAACTGCATTTTGATTGGCTGCATGTCTGAGTTCGCTGGCAACACGGGTCATAGCCAGACTGAGTCGTCTAACCTCGAGAAGTCCGACAGACTTCCGTGACGGCTGCCGAGGTGACTCGGTAGTATTTTCCTCCCTCCCTTCCCCTTCCTCTTTCGCCTCTTTTTTACCCACTTCACCGTCAGCCTCATTTATTTTCTGATCACTTTGGGACTCCTCCATGGCCACCACTCTAAGAATTTCGTTCATGGTGAACTTGTTGGGCTGAGAGCGGCTCCAAAAACAGCTCTGCAGAATAAGTCCAACTGAGCAGATGAGGAGGACACAGCCGGAGGAGAGGAGGAGGTGAAGATGTCCCAAAGCACCGACGAAACAGAAGACGACTCCTAGAATGAGCATTAAGAGGGGTAGCATTTGGCACACCACAAGGTTCAAAAGAATGCGTATACGTTTACGCAGTCGTCTCCGCTTGCGTTGCTTGAGGAGGTTGCGTAAGGTACGTGCTTGGAGAGAATGGGCAGTGTCCACCTTCTCTTCTTGGATGGTGTTTGCCGATGGACTGCGGCTTTTGTCGCTTCGTCGCGTCATTGCAGCAGCAAATGCTGTTACAACCCTGCTGATGCGCGCAGTTTGCCGCACGCACCTCTCTGCAATGGTGCCAGTGCCTCTGTCCAATAGGAGGACAAATGGTGGCATTTAGAAAGGGGGCAAGGACTGCTCGAGTGGAATCCGGACCTTCTGCTTGTTTGTTTGTTTATCTGAATCATCCGCATATGGGAGACCGTAGAGGTGTGGGGAAATCAAAGTGTAGAAGAAGGAACGGTTCTATCTAACGTATCTGCATATAGTGAATAAGTCTATTCACTCCGGTTGCGGAATGGAATTTATTTTCGTACAATATAATTTACGAAATAATATTTACATTGAGTTCTTAATGTCAATTTTTGGTGACCGTGGCAAAAATGTTCCTGAAATACACCACTTCGTCCACGACCAACCCCTAGCAGCTTCATTTTGCTACTGCAAGTATGCGAGGTATATGAGTGATTAATGACTTATCCCTGTTTATTAGCATAGCAATTGTCGCTGGGGATCAAACTGAACCTAAGAACCTGCAAAGATTACTTCTTGAAGCCTAATGTGCCTCAAAATTTGTCAGCGGCGGGCTTCAGCTACCATCGAATGTTTGGTTTTGAATGCCCAAATATAAATTTACAGCTCGCTCTTGAGAATTGAATTAAACAGCTCTGCCACCAAACATTTCTAGTGAGTTTGCTTCCAGTCAAGATGTGTTTCGCTTTACCAAACATGTTTGGAGAAATAATAAAACGGCTCCAAAGTCGAAGGGAGGTGGATTTTTAGCTCGGCATCCAGGTATTTTCCAGCTAAAATAGAGGCTATTTCCCAAATAATGACCCAAATTTGCAAGAGTTATGCCATTCTTCTGGTAATGAGAAAACCTTCATCAAATGGCCCAAATACACTGGAGTCGGATCCGCCTAAGGTGGATTTCGAAAAGATAGCGTTTCTCAAATGCCTGCTAAATTATTTAAAAATTAAGGCAACAAAACTAATTTCTTGTGTAGCGCCCCGACATTTGTGGAGGCTACCGGCATAGCTTGAAGGCCAGTCCACCTGGCGAAGGCAAAGTGACAGAGCCCTTAGCTTACCCACCACTGATTCCGAGAGTCAAACAAACAGCCACAGTACTACACAACCCCTCTCCTGCTTGTCGCATCGACCCCGGCACTGCCCTTGCTCAACCTCTCCTGTCACCCAGCACAACGCAGTCGTTGCTGCAAGAAAAGCACCCACGCGCCAACTACACCAGTCATCGGATTTCGATGCAACTGACGGGTTACTCGATCACAACGCCACTCATCCCTCTCAGCAATTCCACTGGATCTGCAGTTCCGGCCTGTATGGCAACTGGAATCGGAGACGGAGGAACTGTGCTGGACATCATGCCTGTCCAGAGCTAGTCGGAGGAGCAATGGCCTAAAAGATGAGCCATACAGTAAAGAACGGATGTCAACACTGTTTCTTGAGGGTGCAGTTTTGCGTCTCTTCCTCCTTGCCACTTTGTTCTCACTCCACTGCTGCCCAGCCATATCTATCTGGATTCTGCCCAGCTGGAAGAGAGGTCAAGGAGGTATCGCATGCTCACCTCATCGACATCTTCATACAGCTACGGTAGGCAGTTTCGTAACGAACTTTTCCAGGTGGATCATGTTTAGTGTCGTTTCGGTTGTTTATAGCTTTCCTGCAGAACACGGGATTGGAGAAGTTGGCGAAGGTAGACGACATTTGCAGTCAGTCTGCTGCAGTTCGTCACCGATTCGCCCATCCGCAGTGAACGCATTTCCTCCACCCCACTGAGGTTTACCACCCGGTGATGGTGCAGGTCAAGCTAGTTGTCCTTTAGAATC